AACACAATTGTTGACAATGTAATAAGTATATATATTATATATTCAATATTATCTTAATTATTTTTACTAAAAATCAATGTATAAAAACATAAAATAAATTCTAAGAAATATTTTTTTTGATAATTGTTTATTATTTATTATTTTGGAATTTTAATATTTATATTTTCTATATTTATAAATTTTAATATATTTATGACATCATGGTTCAATTCTAATTCACCCACAATTGAACCAATGACTTGTCTGCTCGGTCACTTTTTCGGTTTTCTCACTGGTCTGATTTTCAAAACATTAAAAAGCAGTCGTTAACAAAATTCTTAAGATTATGATAATAGTTTAATTAAGGGTTTGTTTGAGAAATAACTTTTTTAGTGATTTTTTAGCTAAAATATAAGGTGTAAAAAATAAAAAATAATAATATTTGAGAATGACTTTTTGAATTTTCGAATCTTTAACTTTTTTATGACTTTTTGATATTTTTTAACTTTTTAATTAATTTAGCAACCTCTCAAACAAGGCCTAAACAATAAAGTTCACTTACCTAAATCAAACAATTTCACTTACCATTAAAATAAAATAAAAAAAGATTTTTGAAATTTTGACTGTGCTGGACTATATGTCTATGAGGATTGCCTTAATAGTGGTATGGTATTACCATTTTTGGGGGAAAACATTTACTAGTTAATACTTAAAAATACATTACAGTATGTTGACCAGCTCACATATGGTAATTTTGCAACAAAAGGCATTATTATAGTTACTTGTGTTTTTTAATGGATAAAAATGACTTCTTAAGTCTATAAAAAGAGCAAGAAAACCATTGTCTAATTATCTACAAACATGGGAAAACTTTTTGCCTTGTGCCTTTTGCTCTCCCTCCTCCTACTCTTCATCTCTGGTAATTATTTTCGGTTTATTTCTTAGAAAAATTATCAATAAATTGTATTTTACCCTTAAAATTATTATCTAATTATTATCTAATTTTATTAAGTCTCAATATAGATAAGTCCTATTTTTCATAAAATATTTTTTAAAAATTCATTACTGCATAATGGTGTATGTTATGGCAATTGAACCCCTCATTTAATATGAACAACAATTTCATAAATTTTTTAATCCAAGTAAAATCATATTTGTAATTGTAAAAATCATGATATTGTAAAAAAGAACATTTATTAGAAAATCCTCTTTTAAGTAATCGTATCCCAGTAAGTCCATAAGATATTCTTATATTCCAATAGATGTTATTATTTTGGATATTTGATCCACCAAATCCTAATCCTCATATTTAAGATATTTTATGAACAATTTTACCCTTACAAATATTTTTTTGAACTCTTAGTAACTTGGTGATGTGAACATTCACATTAGATAAATTTGGCAATGCGAATGTTCATGTTGACAGTGTGAATGTTCACATTGTTAATGCGAATATTAATACGCGCTTCACCCTATTATTATTAGGGATCTTTTGATAACTATGTCACCTATAAAACTTACTGAAACATAAGAAAGTAATTTGGATTATATAGTGATCCCGGGTTTACCCTTGTTATACCGTGATCCGGACATGTGTCCGTGGATGTTGGTAGTTGGTTATTATTGTGTTTACATCCTGTGGAACATAAGTAGATGAAGAGGAATTTATGAATAAATGCCCTTTAAAAATATCATAAAGCACAATAAAAAATTACTAATAAGTTCTATTTTATTTTCAAAATTACTATTGAATTATATCACGTTTCAATATTAATTAATAAGTCATATTTTCTTTTTTATTTTATAAATTGTTATAAAAAAAAGTTCAATTATTCAAAATAGTATGTTTTATTTTATTTTTATTTTTCTCAATAAAATATGAACCAAAATTTTTTCATAAATAATTTTAATTTATTTAAATTATTGTAATAAAATATTTTTAATTCTTGAAATTAAATAAATTTTCATAAAAAAAAGTATAAGTGTAAGATTCATCAACTATCTCATGCAATGAAAAATATATAAATTTTATCATAGTATTATTTGTTTATATTTTTTTATAATTTTAATTGAATTTAACCTTTGTCTTTTACTCCTGGTCCTCTTGAGCTTCATGCTTTCTCTGACTCCGATTGGGCAGGCAGTATCAATGATCGTCGCTCTACTACTGGCTACTGTGTCTTTTTAGGTCCTAACCTTATCTCTTGGTCTGCCAAGAAGCAGCCTACAGTGTCTCGTTCATCCACTGAGGCTGAGTATCGGGCTCTTGCTCAGGCCGCCGCTGAGTTGAGTTGGCTTCAAATGGTTCTCACTGATTTACACATTGCTCTTCCATGTCCACTTCTCTGGTGTGATAACTTGTCTGCAATTTCCTTGAGTTCCAATCCTGTTTTTCATTCTCGGTCTAAACACATTGCTGTTGATTATCATTATATCCGTGAACGAGTTGCCTCCAAACAAATATTTGTCAAGCATGTTGCCTCCTCTGATCAGCTTGCTGATCTGTTTACCAAAGCTTTACCCGTCTCTCGCTTTCATTTTCTTCGTGACAAGCTCATGGTGCTTTCTTCCCCTATGAGCTTGCCGGGGGGTGATGAAAGTATAGCCTACAATCAGACTCAGCAGCAGCAACAGTCCAAACAGTTCCAAATTCTGCAACAGTTCAAACAGTCTTCATCAGCCACATCCAAGTGTGAGAAGCTACAAGCTGAGTCTAGTGATACCATTTCATATCCATTATAATATCTGTTATATGTTGTTGTAACAGAATTAGTTCTACAGTTAGTTTGTAACAGAATTAGTTCTACAGTTAGTTAGTTAGAGTTAGAGTTAGTATGATTAGTTAGAGTTAACTCATCATGGTTAGTCTTGGATAATTGTTGTATAAATACTCTGTATTCATCTGTAAAAGGAAGTAGAAAATAAGATCTCAAATCTTCTTTAAAATGCATGGTCAAGATTCGCTACATAAATAGTCCCACAACAATTTCAAATATACATCATTAATCTATCATTCTGAGTGAATTTCTAAAAACATTTTTTGGTACCATAACCAAAGAAGAAAAACATAAAACTTACATTTTATCTTCTCACACAACTCAAGCACTCATGTCGTAATAACACAAGCACACACCAACTTTACTAGCACACACATCACACTAATAGCTTAGACTCTATGTTAAATATTCACTCGCACAATTTATTTGTCTTCACTTTCACACATCACTCTATATATATCTATTTCTCACAGTTGTGAATTATACAGATGAAAAGATGGTGGTCATGGTGAAAGCAAAAAAATGTGATGCAGGTTGGCAATGCAAGGGTGAAGACCGTTGCAGGGAAGACTGTAAAACTCGTTACAATGGAATAGGGCGGTGCGATGATATCACTACACCCCTAGTTCCGAAGCAATGTTATTGCGTTTACAATTGTTGATCTCTCATCTCCATATCAATGGAATGTCAAATTATTGGAATCAATAATAAGAACTTAATTTGGTAGAAAGTATTACAGTATTTCATGAACTTATGAGATGCAAGAATGGTGATATAAGTCAATTTTTTCAATTTTTCTAATTTTTTTTTTATGAGAATACTTTTTGACAATATTATTCATATAACTAACATGGTTAATAAACTGAAAAAGTGTCAGAGTCAATCATTTTATTTTAACTAGAAAGCCAGATAGATTAGAACTTATAGAATGGTTATTTAGTAACCAACTAGGCCTAGCCTAGTTGGCCACCATGCTTTCTTTAGGGTTTAGTCCCTAGGAAGGTCATGAATTCAATTCCCCTTAGAGGAGTTAAATTAAGAAAGTGCAAGTATTTAGCTACTTTGCCATGAGTGAGGAGGTTTTCTCCCATAGGTGATAATCTAACAATTAATATTTGCCGATAAAAAAAAAATGGTTATTTAGTAGTGTGATGATCAAATACAAGGTGGTGAAAACAAAATCAGTTCCTACTAAAGGAAAGAGAGAAGAAGAGGCATTTTACTACAAAACAAATCAACCTTAAAAGAGCAAGAGTCACAACATGAATCCACTAATGGAAAAATAAATATATATATATATATATCAGAATTGAGACTAATGTATTTTCCTTTGCACAAAACCTAAATATATAGTAACCTATTTTGAGCATTGTATACACTTATACAACTCTTTTCTAACTTACAATTATTATTATTATTATTGTACAATCGATAGAAGGGGGTAGAGAACAAGGTAAGTCACATTGCATAATAGTAAAACTTGAATGCAAGTAGCATGTCCTCAACCACCTGAAAACCCTTTGTCTTTTTTAACTCACAATTTACAAGTTCAAAAAAAAGGGAATATATATATATATATATTAATCTACTATTCAGTTGTTGAAAGGGAAAATAACGCTGTGTATGATGTCATTGGTTTTTGGAAAAATTATACTAGTAGTCCCTTTAATTTTTCCATTGTATTAATTTGATTCCTGTAATTCCAATTACTCAATTTTGTGCTTTAATTTTTCAATTTGTGGCATTTTGGTCTAAATTGACGCAAATACTCAAAAATGACAAATATATATATATATATATATGGGTTAGATAAGATTAAGGAGCTTTAATATATTTTTGTGTTATTTCGGGAATGTAGGAGTATTTGAGCGGAGTGCAAACAGCTGCACCCAATTTTTATTGGGAAAGTAATTGAAAAGGTAACACTTTCATATATTTGAACATCCCAAATCTAGTACAGAAGCATGACAAACCAAGTACGTAAATAAAAGACGAAAACGGAAGTGAAAGTTACTTGAAGCATAAAAGAGGCAGCAATTTAAACAGCCAAACAACTTTTTACATTTTCTCACATTTCTTCCCTCCTTTCTTCTCCTTCTTCTTCTTCTTTTTTTTTTTTTCTCATTCATATCTGGTAATTTTGCATCCTCTAATGGAAAAAAAGGGTATGTTTTTTCAAGTGTTCAATTCTCACATGTGCATATAAGTACTCTTTGTTGAGTCTTCCCATAACAAACCTCCATATCATCGTGCAAAGTCATGACCATCCTCAAAAACTTCCTGCAATATAAGGAAACAAATCCATAAGTTGACAAAAGATTGAAAGTAAGATACATGAAATGCAATTGTAGTGGAGATGAGCTTGATTTTTATCCGAGAGGGAATTCATCATAAAGATGAGCTGGTGAATCATATCCAATTCTCACAACCTAATCTGTTAAAGAGGATTGCATTTCAAATAATTGTCAAACAGATTAAGATATAAAATTACTCGGTAAATGCTATCATTTAAAAACAGGATATATATGTCTTCAAAAACTTGGTGGTTGACAAAAATAACATAACCAAATTTCACTTTCAATTGACAGCTGACATGTACTAAATATTAAATCTGAATTATAGCATTAATATGTAGGTTTGTAAATGTATCTGAACATTACAGAGGGTATTCTGTCTGCAACACGAGGCTATGCATTCCACTGAAGAAAAGAAATTGGGCATTCTGGTCAAGAAAATAAATTATCTGTATATACAAGGGTTCAAATTTCAATGAAGCATATTATATTCAAATAGAAGAAACAAATAAAGAAAGACACAAGTAAAGGACCAAACTTTGTGATTTCAATAACTATTCTCTAAAGTCTTAGCTACTTTATCAGGTAAAAGATAAAATGATTTCTTCAAGTGTTCAATTCCCTTTCTTGCAAATTACACACATAAAATGATCTTTTTCAAGTGTACATTGAAAGGCATAGTAAGATGAGTTTGATTTTTACCCCAGAACTCATCATAAGATGAGCTGGTATCATCCCAACTTCATATCCGATTCCACAACTTAATCTGTTAAAAAGTTAGCATTTCAAATACATTGTCAAACAGATTAAGAATAAATTCACTTGGAAATGTTCTATTTTAGGATAAATGTATTCAAGAAACTTGATGATTCACGAAAAACAGCAATACCAAATTCACTTTTGGCATTGAGAGTCTGACATGTACTAAAATATTGAATCTGAAGTAGTAGGTAGAAATACTTTGGGTCTTTTAAATGTATCTTTTAACATTGAGAGAAAATAATAACCTGATTAGTAACATTTTCAACATTTTCTGGTACGCGAGCTATTCTCTCTGCAACTGATAGATCTTGCATTTCTGCTGAGAAAATAAATTATCTGGCAGATACTGGCGGACAAATTTCAAACGAAGAAAATTATATTTCTTATGAAGAAAACAAACAAGAAAATCTGAAAGTATTTGTGGAACATACAACATATACGAGCAACAATTTCACCATATTACATTTAAGTGGTAAAGATAAGTCGCTACATAACGATCCAAATCTATCCATATTCCCGATAGGTCATTTTCGCTCTTAATTATAACTTGATAACAGGACTGTTTATTATCAACACGCTCCCATCTCCCCTCCATTTCCCCAAACACACCACAAGAAAGCATGGCTCGACACGCAACACGACACGAACACGCCTGACTCACGCTAATTTTTCAAAAAAATACAGAACACCCAGACACGTTGGGATAAAACGATAAAATATTAATTCTATAAATATTGTATTATATAATATAATTATGGAATATATTCAAGATATGAAAATGCAATATAACACTAACTCCTATAAATTTATATGGTTTTTGTTTTATTTTGTGTATTCTTTAAATTTTTTGTTCAAACTTATAATTAGTTTCCACTGTGTCTATTGGATGGACATGTATGTTTTAAGCGATAAACACATGTGTCCTCCAAGTGTCCATAAGAGTGTCCGGATCTTTAAGAAAAATTAAAAACAGGACACAGTTTTGAGGAGTGTCCCGCACGTGTCGGGGAAGTGCCTGAAGATGTGTCGTGTCCACACGACACGACACGGATGACGTCACTTCTTAAGAAGTGTCGTGTTCTTAGACACACACACAACTACATACACAAAAAAAATAAATAAACAAAAACCACCCAGAAAAAAAACAAAGAGAATTTATTTATCAAAAGATAAGAAAACAAACAAAAGTTGTCGATAGAATATTTGAATGAACATGACGGGCGAATGGCTTTTTAAAAAAATAGTAGCCATTGGTTCTTTAATTGAGGGTCCTAGAAGAAGAACTGGAGAATCAGATAGGCCTAACCTTCGGCATTATTTTTATAAAGTGGGCTGCTCTCAATTTGAACCTTCGTTCTCCCGATTAACTTAGGCACCCCTGAGCATTTATCTCTGACAAGCAATGCCCAATAATTGGCTTTCAAAGCACTCCAAGGCTGCAGGCAAGAGATTCCTATGTCATTCGCAATGTACACTTGTTTCCTATGACAGAACATCCAGAAGTCAAGAGAATTTGCTTAATAAACAAAATACAAATGACAATTAGTAACCAAACAAAAGCTTTTTAAATAAAACCCCAGTAAAGGATGCAAAACTTTATGATTCCTTTTAACTAATTAGTGTAAATTTAAGCTACTCTATCAGGTTAAAGTGAAATGGTTTTTCGCGGGTCTGCTAATGATAGCCAATCAGGGTGTCAATGTAAGAAGCACATAAGGCTAAATTATTTATAACCTCATATACATGTTTCACATAATCTCAAAGTTTTTTTAGCATATTTTTATATACTTTTACACATTTCAATACTTTTTTTAATAGCATTTTTTACATTAAACAACTCAAGTTTTTTTTTTTTTTTTTTTTTTTTTGCATTTTTCTTTCTTAAAAGGTCCCAAGAGATAGCATGGAGTTGCAGACAAATAGGCATTGATGCTTGCCTATTTGGCCATAATGGCATTTTTTAAAGCATCATACAAGCTTCCTTTGTAGTTACAGCTACAAAAAGATTTGGAAGCTGATATTCTACCCTGTATTTTTAGCACGAAAATTGATCCTTTCGTCAATGAATGGCAAATACAAGAATAAAATTTTAATGAATATGAACAATAAGCAATCCAAGTTGGTAAATGGCAAATGATAATGACTTCATTTTTTTTTTTGATAAATAAGACAATTTTATTAGAACAACATCAAGACAATGTCAAAGAATACAAGAACCAAAACAACCAACCAAACAGCTAGCCATGAAGAGTGCCTACAAAATCTAGAAAAGAGTTCAGATCCAAAGCAACTCGCCCCGAGACCCAACTATACAAAATTCCCAAAAATCAGCTCTTCAAATAATATAATGACTTCAAAATTTTTATTTTTATTTTTAAAAATATCCAATAATCTAGTAAAATAAATATAGTCTCTCATCCCAAACATTTTTTTCTTACCATTTCATGTTTTGGGGTGTGCTAGAAGATTTTTGAATTTTATCAAAGATTAGAGAACCACCTTTTACTGTTAAATGAATTTCCCCTTTTTATTTCTTCTTGTTCTTTCTCTACTGCCCACTTCATGACGAGTTTAAATAGATCAACATGTAAATTTGAAGAAATAAAAAAAAAATCTATGAGACTATATGGTATAACAATTTCAAAATAGTTTCATCTCTTTTTTCAATATATGCATTGGATTTGAAATCTAAATAATACTCAAGTAGGGTGGGTGGCTTCTTAAACCTAAATCCCTCCAACTGCAACAAATTGCCCACATGGATTTTGACCAGACTAGGTGGCTTCCTAACTGTCAAATGTAGTCTAGCATGCAAGGACAAGGTATAAAAACACATCATGATACAAAGTTGTCCTTCTTGCAAGGCATGGAAGTTTAAATGATCAAAAGTCTTGCTTAAGAAGAGTGTGCAATGGGGAGGTTTTTCCAATTGTGGTTCGTGGAAATGACTTCTCAATTTTCTTGACAAATATATATATCTTATTCATTGATTACTTACGAGAGTTTTCATCATGATTAGATAAAAGCAAATCAATGAAACAGACAGTGAAATACGTCCTAAAGTTTGTTTCCACAACAACAAATGCTGGAGAACAATAAGGTACTAACAACAATAGTTAGTAGATTACATATCCTTTCTAATATTTTTTTACCTGCATAACACTGATAAAATATAGAAAAGTACACTTTTACAAAGCTGGGGAAAAAAATCACATGGTATTCAAAGTCACAACTGAGTCAGGAAGTTGTCCTCTCCAGGGCAAAAAATAAAAAGTAAAAAAAATCAGCATTTGAACAGAGAACTAATACAAATTATTGATACATTATGTAGCCAATCCACTACATGTCAACATTTCGAATGTTGATGTAACAAATTGTTATTCCAAAATATATTCCAACTATGCTGTCTCTGGCAGATTGGCATTGTTTTATGTTGATGAAACTGCGAAAAAACTTATGTCTTAGTGATAATGATGAGATGGAGATCACACAGCATATACTGACCCATAAAATAAAACTGCAAAAATTAGAAACGATTGAAATGTGCGCTTTTATGATTGGTTGAAAAGTGCACATTTCAATCATTTACAACAAACTGGAACTTTCTTGTGATAAGGCCCAAAAGAATTAGAAAGTAAACCCTCTGTTCTGATAAAAATCTTAGACGATATTAGTATTGAGAAATAAATAAATAAAAATGGAACTTGATTGGATAGGAGAGGTGCTTGCATTAATGACCTTCCCCTCTTGTACCTACTAAACTCCCTAACCAAGTCCTTTGATTGTAATGGATTAGAGCCTAAATTAAATGGAGTTAAATGGTTTCCTACCTTCCCATAAAAAATAGGTGGCAGCTCTTTTATGTGAATCGATCTATTTTGGCAACTTGTGGGTCAACGATACTGTGGGATAAACGATTTGTTGTCATTATAGATCTCAATGGTTCATACTCGATTTTGAGAAAGTCTAATCCGACATGTGGGTGCATCAAAATATGTGGTATCCACAGGAGGTCAGTGTAATTATATAACATATATAAGATTATTAATTGTATTTTCTTCAAGTCTCAAGGAGATGAGTAAATTTACCCTTATAAACGTATATTGAAAAAAAAAATGCTTAAAATATAAATTATATAGATCAAAATCATGTGTACCTAAAATATACTCTTGGCCTTTGTCTTTGCCTTGTTTACATTTGCCTTGTGTCTATTGATAAATAAGGTAAAAGTAAAAGGCACTAGTAGACATAAGATGACTTGTGCTCAAAATGGCATGAAATTTGTTCAAGACATTAAAAATTTCATGACGATCAAGACCCATCAGTCTTGAATGGCCTACAATGGATTTTGGGCGAATTCCAAAATTTAGGCCTTTAGCTTCGCGATGTTTCATTTTTAGAAGTAATTGATTCGTCTATAACTTGGTCCATACCAATATGATTTTGCCTTGATTTTTTCCAGTATATTTCCTTTTTTGGTAATTTTTTTTATTTTATTTGATTTTGGCTTGGTTAGCAAGTACTCCCTCTGTCCCAAAATATTAGTTCCTTATTCCATTTTTCATTATCCCAAAATATTATTCCCTCTTCAAAAATCAAGTACAAAAATAATATAAATTTCCTATTTTGCCTTTCTTTTAAATTAATAAACAATATAAATAGTACAATTATGACATTGATATTCCCAAAAAATGTACTATCAAAAGGGTAATTTTGAAAAATTAACTTTTTTAAAATGCAATAATTGTACTACTAAAAAAAGTTGGATTCCCCCAAATGGACTATTATTTTGGGACAGAGGGAGTAATTAACCTAGGATTTAGTTTACCTTTTTTCTTTAGGTATTCTCTAGTATAAATTGACATGTATGCCTTAGGGCAAATGAGTTTTATTTTGAAGAATTAGCATTATTACAAGAGAGACTATCTTTTTTGTGTCTAATCCGTGGTTGTTCAAGGGTTCGAGTGTTCATTCCATTACCTTCCTTGCATCACCATTCTTTTCTTTATCTCTTTTTCACTCATTTATCCTACTCATGTCAACACGCATAACTGCCTACACCATAACTGCCTTTGTAATACCCCCAACTTTTCAAAATATAATTATTTCGGTATTAGCAAAGCCAAACTAAGTAAAAGGCAGCTCTTTCTTGGTCATCGATAGGGGTGTTTCTTTTGCCTTTGTATATTTTAATAAACTCAGTGTAACTTATGTCAGTGTTAAAGGTGAAAGTTACTGGTGGGGGTTCTAGTAAGCACTGATTTCTAATCCTAGAATGGGGAGTCCAATTAAATAGGCTACGTCTAGGATGGTTGGAGATATCATGCCAAACCGTAGGAGCATTGAGTTGCAAGATTGTGACCAGAAACAGGCAGTAGCAGCAATTAACCACTTATTCATATCAAATTTGAGGGTCAACAGACGAATTACCTCACTAATGCCTAGATGTTTCCATACATCTGAGTCATAAGCTTCAATTCGTTTGACCCAGCTTTGCCAAGAAGAATCTAGTTGTCTCGATGATCTAAGAGAGTTTTTGTTGTTGTCCCAATTTACCCAATTGAATTTTGGTTGGTTGGGATGCAGAGTTTCGCCATTAGCAAGTGGGCAGTATGGCGTTAGTTCATCTAGGAAATAAGCTGTAAAGGTAGGTCCTAGGGTTGCTTTGGCTACGGTGGTGGTACTTGGAATCAAAGTTAAGTCCAGCATTAGAGAGCTGGTGATTTCCCTAATGGTTTTGGGGAATCTAAGATGTTCATCATTGGTTTCATCTTCTTTCATGGATTTCAAGAGCCATTGTTTAGAGTTCTAAGTTGTTTGGTGTTCTAATATGGGAGTTTCGAAAGAGAGAGAGAAGATTGAAATGAGGTGAAGTTAGAAGGTTTAAGCTTTTATAGCTTATGGTGGGCCCAGTGTTTAGATTTGTTCAAATTAAGTACATTATTTATCTGGCCCAGGAATGAATTTGTTTAAGTTAAAAATCATTATTATTTATTTAACTTAAATAAGGGGGTATTGTTTGGACTATCTTTTTCTTTTTTTTTGTCTAATCCGTGGTTGTTCAAGTGTTCGAGTGTTCATTCCATTACCTTCCTTGCATCACCATTCTTTTCTTTATCTATTTTTCACTCATTTATCCTACTCATGTCAACAGGCATAACTGCCTACACCATAACTGCCTTTGTAATACCCCCAACTTTTCAAAATATAATTATTTTGGTATTTAAATTTGGTTATTGAAATTTTTTTATTAATGAAATATAAATTGGACATATTTTTGAGAATTTGCAAAACATGCTAGGAAATTTCATAGTTTTTGTAAGTTTCAAATAATGATGGAAATTTTGTTATTTTTCAAATTTAATAATTATAAATGAATATTTACATTTTAAATTACAATTTGAGACTATTTACTATAGCTTTTGCTCTTGAATTGCCTTGCTGGTCAATTTTACAATTAATATGACACCAGTTGCACTTCT